TCCGCAAAATTCTTTGTCGTAGCCAGCGGACCATGCTGCATCTCTGTGAGGGACATGTCTGCGTTTGGAAGGGCTCCGACCCACCAGCAAGGGGTCCCCGACACCGTGTTTGTGCTGGCACCCGACTTCACACTTTCTGCAGCCAACAAATCAGCAAACGCATGGATCTGAGCCAGGAACCCTGTGTAATTCCGTATAAGTGTGGGTCCATTTCCAGGGGTAATTCGTGTAGTTGGTCGGGGTGCTTGCTATGCCGACGACTACTACAACTAACGGGAGGACCCAACCCTAAACCCTAATCCCTACACCCTAAACCCTAAACCCCAAACCCTAAACCCTAAACCCCCGCACGCGCACGCACGTACGCACGCACGCACACGCCCACGCACACACGCACGCGCGCACACACACACACACAGACAGACAGAGACACACACACACACACACACACACACACACACACACACACACAAAAAAAAACACACACCACCCACACACACACGACACCCGCGAGCGCGCGCACACACACGCACGCACGCACGCACGCCACGTACGTTACCAGCACGCACGCACGCAAGAACACACACACACACACACACACACACACACACACACACACACACACACACACACACACACACACACACACACACACACACACACACACACACACACACACACACACACACACACACACACACACACACACACACACACACACACACACACACACACACACACACACACACACACACACACACACACACACACACACACACACACACGCACCCACACACCCACACACCCACACACTGTACCCACACACCCACACACCCACACACCCACACACCCGCGCACCCGCACACCCACACACCCACACACTTTCACACCCACACGCCCACACGCCCACACGCCCACATGGGTGTGAAGCAGCTCCTGCATTTGCAAGCGTTGAGGGTTTTTGACTAGGCTTGCAGAAGGTTGAAAGGAGTCATAGCTGCAAAAAGAGGTAGGTCACCATGTTCACATAATCTAGCTGCCTCCGACTCAAAATCCCAAAGCCTTCAAACCGTTGCCCCACATTCGTCAGATGGCTTTGCCTTCCTGCATTTGTTGGCGCAGGCTTCTGCGATGTAGACCCTGCTGGAAGGCTGGAACGGGGTCAGCTTCTATTCGACAGGATGAAGTAGTTGCAAAAGCCATTCTGAACATATGCAGCATGCATTAGGTGAGTGCATTTTTCTTTGCAGTTATGCTCCAGCTACATATTTTTACTATGCAACCTTTTGACGTTGTGAACTTCGGGTCTGTTGATGCGCTTTCGCTATTGACCCTCGCTTCGCCAGCTTGTCAATATCTGAACACGTCTGAACGGTTTCCGGCCTTTGGCATTGCCTGTGTGGCCCAAACAGCAGCTGGTTTGTCTACAGTTATGTCTGCTATGTTGTCCTGGCGTGCTGGCAGCCCGCAGCGGAATCGAAATGGAAAGGTTCCCTCCTTCGTCGTGTTGCTGTCGCATGGAACCCGAGGAGGACTTCAGGATCTGCTCTGCAGATGAAGAGGCTGTCGATAACCTTGCACAGAGTAGCCAGATCCCCACGGGTATGATTGGCCCCGACAGCACAAACGCCGGCGCTCAGGTAGTCATTCCCAGCTCCTCAGGCACTTCAAGCCTTGAAGATCTTGAAGCGGCGACAGCCATCCTAACGCAACGTAGCCTCTTTCGGCCTGATTTGATGCGAGGCGTTTCCTTGCGAAGCACGCTAAGGCAGGGGGGTTGGCTCTGGCTCTACAGCCCGTCGGTCCTAAGCTTTGAGAAGCGAAAGCAGGTCTTTGCCACATCCAAGCCCACGGAACGATTTGACAAGTTCTTGTCGCACACATGGTGGACACATGGGAAGTGGAAGATGCTGTCTCTACTGATCCACTTTGGCTGGCCAACCATGTTGATTGCCTGGACTCTTGGGATAACCCTCTCCTTCGTACTCAGCTTCATGGGCGTGTTGCCGGCATGCACGAGCTTTGAGGTCCACGCCATTGAATTTCACGGCCAAGTTCCTTATGGCTGCTGGATCATGCTGACCGGCCTCATGGCCCCCATTGCAGGGCTGATGGCCTTTCCATATCTCCCGCGCCTTCATGGATCAGACACCTGTTTCTTGGACTTCGTGTGCATCAATCAGACAGACACCGACGAAATGCAACAGGGGATCCGATGCATCGGGCATTTCCTGGCAGCAACAGCGGAGTTGCGGGTGCTTTGGAGCGCGCCATACCTTTCGAGGTTGTGACTTGCTGCATGTTTGCAGCGCTGCATGCAGTTTCGCAGTTGTACCCTAGACCCTAAAGCCTAAACCTAAACACTAAATCATCACCGTGTGCCTTTGTCTCCGCATGCTTGTCCTTCGGAATGTAATGCGAAGGTGTTCCCAAGAACTCATAAGACATTGCCAAACAGGGTTTCCTGCCCAATTTAGAGAGGTTTCTTGATAGTCGAAACACAACACGAAGAATACCAGTGGCTCTAATCTGTAGATCACCCAGCTCACTTTGGTGCCCAGGTGGTGCGTCTTCGAACTTGCAGCTTACCGCAAGATGAACCCATCCGGAACCATTGTCATCACACCAATTTCCAACGAGTTGTTGGCATGCAAATGCTTCTTGTGGGTGAACTTGTTTACTTTCGTGTTTTGGTTTTCCAGGGGGGGTCCTGAAGGTGGTGGTGGAGTGCGCCTGTTGGCTGTGTTTTTGTGCGTGTTTTGTGTCATGTTCCCGTCTCTGGCACATGTGGCGTGGAAACAGAAGCTGGACCGTGACAAGCTGGACTCTGATTTGGCTACGTTTGATGTTTTGAAAGTGGAGTGCAGCAACGATTTTGACAGACAGTGCATACACGATGCCATCATCCAGTGGTATGGTAGTCTGGCCGCCTTTTCCGCACATGTACAGGGGCCATTTCACCAGGAAGTGGTGAGGTTGATGCGTGCCGGTGGCAGCGTGCCAGTTGCCTATGTCTGGTTCAGCTTGAGCCCGATCTTCTGCCTGAGTCTGGAGGGCTTCGTAGCCTTGTGGAGAGCCAACGCTCCAATGGAAAGTGTGCTTGGATGGGCCCTGAGCCATCTCTTGGCCCATGATGTTCTCTACCTTCCTGCCATCGGGATTCTGTACCACTTCACAACCAGGTGTGACTTGCGCTCTTGGACGTGTGGCTGCAAGTCTTTCGCTCTGGAAAGCTTTCTGGGAGCTATCTCCTTTTGTGTTTTGTTCACCGGAGGAAGCATGGTCACAGTTTTCGTCGCCTCCCACAACTTTGGGTTGGTGCTTGTGTGGACGGTAGCTGCATTGGCGGTCGCGGGCTTTTGTTGGGGCTACTGCTGGCGAATCCTATAGAGGCAGGATCCCCATCCCCAACCCGGCTGCCTGAATTCAAGTCCCTGTCCCCTCCGAAGGAGATGTGCAAAGCCCCTACCAAAACGAAGCCTGGCTCGTTGTAGATCCCTTCTGGACATGGACCGGCGGATCACAACACTTTTGGAGGGAGTTTTGAATGAAGGGAAGCCGAAGAAGGCGCCCGGATTCGAATTTGAAGGCCCAAGCACTGGGAGCCAAGCTTTCAGGTGCACAGGACTTCGTCTTTCTGCAGCCCAGGGCAGCTGTAGACCGACCGCAGGGGTTGCTCAAAGACGGCGTTGCTCGAGGATGCAAGCAAAAAACGCACCCTTACGGCTTGTTACGGCAAAGTTGTCTTGCGGCACCCAAGTTGTGTGCTGTCTATAAGCATTGGTTGGTGCCGCAGCGGTCCGCTGGAGACGTGCATCTGTGCATTTGTGGGGACCGGAGCTTGCATGCAGGTGCCCACTTGGGGAAGGGCACCCAAGTCAAGAACCCCAAGTACCATATGTATATATGTATACATACATACATATATATATATATTTATTTATTTATTTATATATATATAAGAAAAACAACCCACCCTCCCCACCCCCAAAAAAAAACAGTGATATAGATAAATAAATAAATGAAAGCAAGTGACCCCTATTGGCCTTGTGTTTAAGAAACCTCCATCCAGGGGCCTTGGCAATGATGCAAGCTCCGTCCAGGTCCTGGCATCTGCAAGTCATCAAAGCGCGCGGATGCGCAGGTTGGGTTTGTGTGTACTTGGGGAGATCTTGGAAACCCTAAACCCTGATGGATAACAGGGTCCAGAGGGTCTGAAAGGAGATCGCTGAAGCTACTGGAACTGTTAGCAGGGAAGAAGCAGCTGCCTAAGCAAAGCCATGCAGAAAGACACGGCCCATGGCTTCTCGTCCCTTGAGGCACCCAGCTTTGGGCATCTCGAGACTTTTCTCGACTGTGGGATAAGGCAGGGAAAACCACATGAACAAATTCAGACCATGAAACATCATGAAACCAAGAAGGAGGCGTGCCAAGAAGATGGGTGTGAAGCAGCTCCTGCATTTGCAAGCGTTCAGGGTTTTTGACTAGGCTTGCAGAAGGTTGAAAGGAGTCATAGCTGCAAAAAGAGGTAGGTCACCATGTTCACATAATCTAGCTGCCTCCGACTCAAAATCCCAAAGCCTTCAAACCGTTGCCCCACATTCGTCAGATGGCTTTGCCTTCCTGCATTTGTTGGCGCAGGCTTCTGCGATGTAGACCCTGCTGGAAGGCTGGAACGGGGTCAGCTTCTATTCGACAGGATGAAGTAGTTGCAAAAGCCATTCTGAACATATGCAGCATGCATTAGGTGAGTGCATTTTTCTTTGCAGTTATGCTCCAGCTACATATTTTTACTATGCAACCTTTTGACGTTGTGAACTTCGGGTCTGTTGATGCGCTTTCGCTATTGACCCTCGCTTCGCCAGCTTGTCAATATCTGAACACGTCTGAACGGTTTCCGGCCTTTGGCATTGCCTGTGTGGCCCAAACAGCAGCTGGTTTGTCTACAGTTATGTCTGCTATGTTGTCCTGGCGTGCTGGCGGCCCGCAGCGGAATCGAAATGGAAAGATTCCCTCCTTCGTCGTGTTGCTGTCGCATGGAACCCGAGGAGGACTTCAGGATCTGCTCTGCAGATGAAGAGGCTGTCGATAACCTTGCACAGAGTAGCCAGATCCCCACGGGTATGATTGGCCCCGACAGCACAAACGCCGGCGCTCAGGTAGTCATTCCCAGCTCCTCAGGCACTTCAAGCCTTGAAGATCTTGAAGCGGCGACAGCCATCCTAACGCAACGTAGCCTCTTTCGGCCTGATTTGATGCGAGGCGTTTCCTTGCGAAGCACGCTAAGGCAGGGGGGTTGGCTCTGGCTCTACAGCCCGTCGGTCCTAAGCTTTGAGAAGCGAAAGCAGGTCTTTGCCACATCCAAGCCCACGGAACGATTTGACAAGTTCTTGTCGCACACATGGTGGACACATGGGAAGTGGAAGATGCTGTCTCTACTGATCCACTTTGGCTGGCCAACCATGTTGATTGCCTGGACTCTTGGGATAACCCTCTCCTTCGTACTCAGCTTCATGGGCGTGTTGCCGGCATGCACGAGCTTTGAGGTCCACGCCATTGAATTTCACGGCCAAGTTCCTTATGGCTGCTGGATCATGCTGACCGGCCTCATGGCCCCCATTGCAGGGCTGATGGCCTTTCCATATCTCCCGCGCCTTCATGGATCAGACACCTGTTTCTTGGACTTCGTGTGCATCAATCAGACAGACACCGACGAAATGCAACAGGGGATCCGATGCATCGGGCATTTCCTGGCAGCAACAGCGGAGTTGCGGGTGCTTTGGAGCGCGCCATACCTTTCGAGGTTGTGACTTGTTTGCAGCGCTGCATCCAGTTTCGCAGTTGTACCCTAGACCCTAAAGCCTAAACCTAAACCTAAACACTAAATCATCACTGTGTGCCTTTGTCTCCGCATGCTTGTCCTTCGGAATGTAATGCGAAGGTGTTCCTAAGAACGCATAAGACATTGCCAAACAGGGTTTCCTGCTCAATTTAGAGAGGTTTCTTGATGGTCGAAACACAACACGAAGAATACCAGTGGCTCTAATCTGTAGATCACCCAGCTCACTTTGGTGCACAGGTGGTGCGTCTTCGAACTTGCAGCTTACCGCAAGATGAACCCCTCCGGAACAATTGTCATCGCACCAATTTTCAGAGAGTTGTTGGCATGCAAAAGCTTCTTGTGGGTGAACTTGTTTACTTTCACGTTTTGGTTCTCCAGAAGGGGTCCTGAAGGAGGCGGTGGAGTGCGCCTGTTGGCTGTGTTTTTGTGCGCGTTTGCTGTTGTGTTCCCGTCCCTGGCACATGTGGCGTGGAAACAGAAGCTGGACCGTGACAAGCTGGACTCTGACTTGGCTACGTTTGATGTTTTGAAAGTGGAGTGCAGAAGCGATTTCGACAGACAATGCATATACGATGCCATCATCCAGTGGTATGGCAGTTTGGCCGCCTTTTCCGCACATGTACAGGGGCCCTTTCGCCAGGAAGTGGTGAGGTTGATGCGGGCCGGTGGCAGCGTGCCCTTTGCCTATGTCTGGTTGAGCTTAAGCCCGATCTTCTGCCTGAGTCTGGAGGGCTTCGTAGCCTTGTGGAGAGCCAACGCTCCAATGGAAAGTGTGCTTGGTTTCGCCGTTGGCCATCTGTTGGCCCATGACATCCTGTGGCTCCCTTCCATCGTGATCCTGTACCACTTCACAACCAGGCGTGATTTCCGCTGTTGGACGTGTGGGAGCAAGTCTTTCGCTCTGGAGAGCGTTGTGGCAGCTATTTTCTTTTGTGTCTTGTTCACCGGAGGAAGCATGGTCACAGTCTTCGTCGCCTCCCGAAACTTTGGGTGGGTGCTTGCGTGGATGGTTACAGCATTGGCGGTGGCGGGCGTTTCTTGGGGTTTCTGCTGGCGAATCTAGCCGCAGACAAGATCCCCAACCCTCAGGCTGCCTGAATTCAAGTCCCTGCGCCCTCCGAAGGAGATGTGCAAAGCCCCCACCAAAACGAAGCCTGGCTCGTTGTAGATCCCTTCTGGACATGGAACCACGGACAGCAACTCTTTTGGAGGGAGTTTTGAATGAAGGGAAGCCGAAGAAGGCGCCCGGATTCGAATTTGAAGGCCCAAGCACTGGGAGCCAAGCTTTCAGGTGCACAGGACTTCGTCTTTCTGCAGCCCAGGGCGGCTGTAGACCGACCGCAGGGGTTGCTCAAAGACGGCGTTCCTCGAGCATGGCCTGTCAAAAGCGCGACGGGGCCTGTGCCCCTGCACACTTCGGTGTGGGAGTTTTCGGCAACAGGGCACCCAAAATAGATACCATCCTTGTCAACGGTAACGGGACCCCCCAGAGTGACCCTGTCGTTAGCAAACCCCCCACCAGGGGCGAGGTTGTCACCTTCTCCGCAAGATCAGACCCTGGGCCCATAGTGCTATACCCTCTACCTGAAACAACCCTTAAAACCCTCCCAAGCAGCCCTAGAGCTTGCAATCGCTACATGTCTCATGATCGCTTTCCGTCCAGGTCCTGATCTCTGCAGTCATCTGGAAGGCGCGGGTAAACCAGTTGGGTTTGGGTGCGTACGTGGGGGAGCGTGGAGGGCTACAAGGTTTTTTGGCGGCCTTCTAGTTGGTCTTCAGAAGCCTTCAGGTTCGATTTGGAATGCGGGGCTGATTGTCGGTTGTTGTGCTTTGCTCATGACAGTGCTATCAAGGGCAGCATGTAGGTTTGTTGTTGTTCTCTGCCTTTTTCCATGAAGTGTTGAGGATCAGACTCATAGCTCCGCCAGGGTCAGGCCTAATCTGCGTCGCCACTTTCGCGCCATGATGCGGAAGACCCTCCTTGTGCTCCTGTGCTCCGCAGCAGCTTACTTGGAAAACGCATGAACTTGAAGTGTTTTGGAATTGCTTTGGTTACCCTAAGCCCTTAACCCAGAATGAAACCGTTAACTTAATTGGGATGTTCTCCCTACTAACCGTCCTTAATTGAGTAGGGATTATAGTACCTCCTATTATATTCCCTATTACGGACTGTTAGTAGAAGGGGGAACATCCAACCCCTAAGCCCTAAGCCCTAAGCCCTAAGCCCTAAACCCTAAACCCTAAACCCTAAACCCTAAACCCTAAACCCTAAACCCTAAACCCTAAACCCTAAACCCTAAACCCTAAACCCTAAACCCCTGGTAATAGGAGAAGTAAGGCAGCCGACGAGTTCCTGAGCCTCAAGCGTGGCATCTCCGCCAGATGTCTTCTCCAGGGCTGGGCGGACGATGTGCACCTCGGCCGTTTTTTGTGTGTCCCTTTAGGGGGTTTAGGGTTTAGGGGTTTTGGGTTTTGGGTTTTGGGTTTTGGATGTGCCATGTGGGCTTTCCAGATTGGGACGCCCTTTTGATCCTCACCTTGCTGACGCAACCATCCCAAAGTATGCATCGCATAGAGGACTTTACGGAGCAGCCACCTGACGCTACATACCGTGTGCCATTAATGCTCTTGCATAACACCAGAATTGACACCCTTGCATTGTCCGTAGTCCTACCGGCCGACAGTTACACACTGTCAGACAGTTGGACCAGGCAAAAAAGCGACATTGTGAAGGTGGCCCAGGACTGCTTCACGCGGAACGCAGTGCAAACGAGCAATCTCGGAGAGCTGCAACTTGGTGTCGTTTCAGAGCACTCCAGTACTCCGGTGCTGAGTTTTCTGGCTTCCAACCCCCAGCCCCACAGGTAATTCTGACCAGCCGACCACAAGAGGACATAAACTAACCAGAGGTTGAAGCCACCGAGGCAAGGGACATTGGGGGTTGCCACCGGTTGCGTGGTGACCAACCTCGATGCTCTGTGGGGATGGCGGCCGGAGCTTACCGGCTCGGGCTCAAACACTGGTGGCCCCTACGACGTCTACGGCGCGGGTCTGACCTTGGTGGGTGTGGAGACGCCCTCCGGTAGCTGGCAGTTCATGCTAAAGAAGCCGGATTCTCAAGAAGCTGATGCCTCGCACGTGGCCGTGACGGTGCACAGCCACCACCGGGGCGATGCCACGCCGCAGCAGGAAACCGACCTGATCCACTTTGCCGAGTCCTGCTTCAGCAAAGGGGATGTCGACACTTCCAACCTTGGCAGCTTGCAGTTTTCCTTGGGCAGAAACGTGGACTGCGTTCTGCAGAAATGTTCGGAGGCATGGGGCTTCAAGCCGGATTCTTCCAGCTCCGGCTCGGACACTGGCGGCCCCTACGACATGTACGGTGCCGAGGCCACGGTGATCGGGGTCGAATCCCCTTCGGGCAAGTGGGAGTTCGTGCTGCAGCTGAAGAACTGAAAGAGTAGCCCCATGCCTGGGGGAGAATCATACCCCTTGCACAACTTTTGTTGAAGCTGGGACCGCTGTTCCATGTACAGATACTGTGTGACTGTGTGCGCGCCTTGTCAACCCTCATACATGCGCGCCGCTACCAGGCTACACCAATCCTTTCGGATCCCTGCTTCGGTTACCGTCAAAAGTACGGCAATTCAGCACAGCAGCTTATACGACTCTTTGGACCTTTCAGCCCTGCGGAGGCCTGTGCGCTGCATGGGGCTCGCCGGTATAGAAATGAGCATTGCGTGTTCTCGTTGCCTGCAACTCCAGACATTTGATGCTCCAGCTGTCGAGTGCATGTCAAAGGCAGTACCGTGAACTCGGAGTCTTCTGATAAGTGCATCTACAAAATCACGAGCCTCTACTGCGAAGCTGCTTTTGGTTTCAAAGCTTTGCGAAGTTGGGTTGCCAGTAGCGAGCGTGTATGACCCTTGTTGCTCAGCGCAGGCGATTCTTGTTCGAGACTCCCGCGGTCCAGTTCCAAGAGTTCACCATATTGATGAGGCAGACCTAGGTCGGTTGCGCGCCTCTTCTGAACGTTTGGGATCCATTTTCTCGTCAGCAACTTTGTGGGTCTTCTCCATGAAGTTGGAGCATGGTTCTTCCTGGGATTCCCTTTAGTGCCCGCCTTGGGGTCTGAGGATCATGATCCCAACTTTGGGAAACCCTAAACCCTAAACCCTAAACCCGTTTACTGCAGGGCGGCATAGAGATCGTGGTACTTTGGCGCCACCATTGCCCGGCCTCCTTGGCAAGCGAACACCCGACCCTGTACAGTTCATCCTTCTCATAGCTTCTCTTATCAGTCTAAGATAGGAGCCTTAGTGATTAGAATCAGGGTTTTGGGGATTTGGGGGTTACTATAGTATAATTACAAAGGGCCAGAAGGGAATACTATTAGTAATTCCTCCGACCCCTAGATCAATCACAAAGTCCATAAGGCCTCACATCCTGACCCTTAAGCACTAAAACTCTAGAATCCTAAAAATGGCATATTTCCCAAACTAGGGGGGGGTTCCCCGTTTGATGCCTTTAAGCCCATCCTCAACGCCTGTAACCACCCTAGACACAAAACCCGCTAAGCCCTCAACCCTAAACAGCCAGGAGTCGTGCTCTTCCCTGACTACCCAGGATGGTGGCAGGCGACGAGCAGAAGTTTTTTTAAGTTTGGGGTTGATTAGGGTGTTTAAGGTTTGGCTTCTGGGTCCTACAAGGGTCTTTTGAGGGTTCTACAGTTCTACACGGCTTTGTGGTCTTTCTTGACGTTCCCGAACATTTGCGTTTTCTTCTTCGGGATGGTCTCGGATGTTTCTACATGGCATGGAATCTATGTCAAGGCCCTAAACCCTGAACCCCAAACCCTCAACCCTAAACCCTAAACCCTAAACCCTGAAATATCGCCGCCCTGACGAGGTGGCTGCCGCTGCATACTTGCCCCGCGTCTGCTCTCAGAAATGTCGGTTGCTTCACTTTGGGACTTTTGCTTTTTGTTTGGGGGGGGAGGGGGGGGGGGGGAGTTGTGGGGTGGGGTGTCGCTTTCGAAATTTCAAGCTTTCAAATTTTCGAGTTCGAGAGGCTGCTCCGAACTCGTTCTCCAAACTTTGGCTGAGTCGGAACCTTTGGTCGACAGATTTTCTAAGTTGCGAAATCAATGTTTTTGAGTTTGCAAGTTCGAAGGATTGAAAGTTTGGGAGTTTGACGGTCCGATCTAAGTTCGCTTCGCTTGGCGCTGCCGCGATCGAGGGTTGGAGAGATTGAAAGTTTCAATAGATTGGAAGTGTGAAGGTTGGAAGCGTGCCCAGTTCAAAAGTTTGACGGTCTGCCAAGTTCGGACTTTGAAAGTCTGAGAGTTCAGAGATTGAAGGTTAGCAGTGCGGTCTGTATATGTCTGTACCCTAAACCCTATAAACCAGAAATCCTAAGGTCGGGGTTTGCGTTAGCCGCACGTCTCGGTTTGCATTATCTTGCAGCAGCAAGAGTGTAGGGCGTATGAATCTCAGCATTTAAGCCCATATAGGCCCGAAACTCGCAAGCCCTCAATCCTGCGACACTACCAGGCAGGTGGCAAAAAACCCTAACCCTCCTAAGGCTTTAAAGGCTGTGAGTCAATGTGAGTCTACATGTGCATAAAGTCTTAAACCATGGCAAAAACCCCCTAACCCTCCTAAGGTTTGGGCTGTGAGTCTACATCTAAAGTCTGAAACCAAAACACAAGTCTTAAGGGGTGGAGAAGGAGGGGCCCCCCTTAATCTCATTTCCCTATGCAACCACTATATACACCTCACTCATGTAGTCCCTTTATACCTAAGTAGCCCCCAAATAAGCCCTAAATCGCCCGTAAGGTCCCTTATAAGGGTCCCCCTTTGGTCCCTTGAAAGTCTCTTCACATGGCATACCGTTGGGTGTGGCGAGTGTGTGTGTGTGTGTGTGCGTGTTTTTCGAGCTTGACAAGCCCAGACAATCTAATGTCCCCAAGCGTGCTAGGACCTGAAGTTCTCACGTTTCCCCCTTGCGCTCCAAGCGGCACGCTGTCAAACTCAAACTGTCCAGCAAACCCCTAAACCCTAAACCCTCTAAACCCCCCCTCAAGCTGTCAAGGGCTTCGCGCTCCAATCTTTCAAGCTCTGAAACTTTGAAGATTTCGAACTCTCGAACTTCTGAACTCTGAGGCACACTTTCTAATCTTCAAACTTCCCTTTTTTTTGAACCTTCAACCTTCAAGCAACTTGGAAAACTGTTCGACTCACGCCTTTCAAACGGTCAAGCTCGAGCCGAGAGCAACATGGCAGCTGGTCAGTCCTGCTCCCCATGAGGGATGGTCAGCAGTCAAAATGTTCAACATTTCGAGTTCACAAAATTAACACACTCATCTGATCCGATACTACTTAGGCTTCTACGCCTATAAAGGCACTGTTTTCCGGAAAACGCTTGAGAAGTGCGGCTTGCGAGCGGTTGGCTCTTGAATCTTTGAATGAGGGGCTAGATCATGGCTGAGCCTGTGCTTTGCAAAGCCCGTGAAGCGACCAGAGGATGGAGCTGCTGTCACTTCTGCGGCCCGCGTGCAGTGAAGCTGTGAGGCACCAATCCAGGCTTGAGATGGTTTTCGTTATCACGCCGGTGACTACTACCATGGGTTCCATCATCTCTCGATTTTATGACGACGGGGTGGGTCGGTTTGACTACTTGGCTGCGATTCACCTTGCCAGTGCTATGGCCCTGATGACTGTGGGTATGATCCTGAGCAAGACGGACTGCCTGCCGTCCGCAGCCCATTATTTGGAGGACCCGCGCTGCAGCAATGCACTCTGTGGATTGTTCAGCTGGATACCAATGTGTGCGATCAGTCCCATATTGATGACCGGCAGCGCAGAGGACATTGCCGTCACTTTTGTGGATGCTCTTGGGGGCATCACACTGTTTGTGCCATTGGTAGAGGAGCCACTCCTAGTGTTCGTCGGTTATGCCGCCTACGTGAGCATTGCGTATGCGAGAATTCTGCATCTATGTTCTTCAGAGGTGGACAACTGCGTCAGTCTCACACCCTACCATTGCCGACTAACTGCTGTCTTGCTTCTTATTGTTCTTTTCTGTCAGATGAGGATTCGGTATTTGATCATGACATGGACACAGCTCACGGCAGACCGCCTTGAAGAACGTACCGGGACTGAATCTGAGGCAGAACCCCAGATGCTGGAGAGATCTCAGCTTGTCTATGTACTAGACAAGCGAGCCGATGGCAAAGCTGCCGAGATAGAACGCAACGTCTGGAGTCGCAGACGGCTCTACAAAGCCGAGTTGACAGGCCGGCTTCTGTGGGCAATCCATTTCAGCAGGCAAATGCTTCCGGAATCTGAGGTGTTGGACCATATCCTTGCCTTCCTGCATGAGCCTGTGAGACCAGTGACCACCTACGTCGGCCTGTTGCCCCACGATCGCCAGTCGATGATCTCCAGCACCGAGCACACAATCGCCAGCTCAGGAGTCTTCTCGTCACTCTCGTCGCTCTCGTCGCTCTCGTCCGTGGCGGTCCTGCGCAAGGCATTGTCTGCACGACTCTGGGTCACTTTTGGGCGGCCTCCTTCGGAGGTCGGCAAAGCCAAAGCTGAGCAAGCAGCCAGCGGCAACTGCAACGTCTTTGTGCCTTAGCTGTAGAGTAGGTAACCTTCAACCTTTTTGGGGTAGTATCATCCTCTTTTATTTCCCAAAGGTCAACCTTTAGTCTCCCTAGGTACTGGACAGCTAAGGTGCAGCTTGCGAAGTCCGCCTCTGCGCGACTGAGCCTAGGCCGTCTCTTCTTGTCACGGCCTGCGCCTGAGTGATAGTAACCGAATCATACCGAATCACCTACCCTCTTGCCGGACCCTAGATACCCACCTGCAAGCACTGCAAGGTAAGGATAAACATGATTATACCTTGCATTCCGATCTCCTTAAGGGCTAGAAGGCTTCTCTCCACGTACCTTCAAGTCAAGCATCCTCAAGGCAACCGGGTTTCGAGTTCAGACACGCTGGGTCTTCGGCAATCTGGCTGTTGGGATCAGCGGTACGAGTTAGCCTTAGGGTGTAGGGTTGAAGACATGGGGCTGGATTTGTCCGACTACTCAAGCAGGCTTGGCTGTATGCAGTTTGAAGAGCTCTGAAGCCTCTTCGAGTAGAAACATTCGAAAGGCATCTTGTGCCTGAGTGAATCTTTTGAGCGACGGAGGTCTCGTTTGTAGTCTTGAATACCGTATAAACCCTAAACCCTAAAGTAAGATATGCAGTGGGTGAAGCCTGGCCTACTTGGCGGCATCCGATGCGTGATGCTCCTTTTTCACAGCCAGCTTCCCAGGCACCTTGATCATCCAAACAATCTACGATTCCTGCTTGGGGGTCCTAAACCCTAAACTCTAAACCCTAAGCCCTAACCCTAAACCCTAACCCCTAAACCCTAAACCCTAAACCCTAAACCCTAAACCCTAAACCCTAAACCCTAAACCCTAAACCCTAAACCCTAAACCCTTGCCGGCTGTGTGGCCGTGATGGCCGCCGGTATGATCCTGAGAAAGACGGGTGTCGGGGGCCCATTCTTTGCCCAGTACCCGTGCTGCAGCAATGCACTCTGGGGTTTTAAGAACAGTTGTGGATGCCAGGCCACTTCTCACCTTAGTAGCTGAGCAGAGAACCTTAACCTTTTCGGGTAGAAACATGGAAGTAGAAGTATAAATATCAATAAACAGAGTAATGAATATGTACATGTATATATATATATATATTTATTATATATATATATAGATATACATATCATCACTTCAAGCTGAAGTTTGTTTGGCCAAATTTCTCAGCAATTAGGTCTCTCACTCGCCCAATCAGGCATGTGGAGATGCACCTTTAATGGTTTCGGAGGCCTGGGTTGTCTCACTGCCACACATGTCTGGCACAGCACGAAGTGTGACAGACTGAGGGCAAAAACAAGCTGATGCTGTCCGAACAGTTGGCTCCACCTCCATTTGCTGTCTAAACCCTAAACCCTAAACCCTTTAACACGATTCTGGCATACAACATGGCGGCTGAACCGAGGCTTGGGCTTGGGTGACCCCATGCCCAAGTTGGAGAAGCGGAGAGTTCGTGGAAGTTTGCCCTCTGGGGTTCGAAGGCCCGACATCTTTTGCTTTTTATCCTTGGCTGAAGTTCTTTTTGCTTGGAGCGTTTTTTGTAACAGGAGACGATTGAAGGACTTCTACTCACGGCGTGTGTGTATGCGAGTGTGAGAGAGAGAGAGAGTGTGTGCGTGTGTGCGTGTGCGTGCGTGTGTGCGTGCGTGTGTGCGTGTGCGCGTGTGTGCGTGTGTGCGTGTGTGTGCGTGTGTGCGTGTGAGCGTGTGTGCGTGCGTGCGTGCGTGCGTGCGTGCGTGCGAGGGTGGGTGGGTGGGTGGGTGTGTGTGTGTGTGTCTGCATGCGCGTGCACGCGCGGCTGCTGCTGCTTGATGCCTTTACGGCTGCTGTTTGCAGCCGTCTATCACGTGAAGACTGGGTGAGAAGATGAACATTCACGAGAAGGTTGATGTTCTGTGCTCCACAAGAAAGCTTGCCGCATGTCTATGCATATATCTGTCAGCTGAAGACGCGGATGCCATTGTTCTTCTCAGGCAGAAAATTGCAAGGGCCTTGATGAACTCCTTGATCCAGGACCGACTTGTTTTACATGACGGTCAGTTGCGGCCCGATGCACTCACCTTGTTGGGCCTGAGGGGATTGGGTTTAGGGTGTCGGGCGGGCCCTTCTTGGGGATGGGCCTTTTTTTACAGGCTTTGAGGCTTTCATGGACCTACTCGGCTGTCGGACCCCAAAGATTTGCTTTTGGCGTCCCAGGGATGGGCAGCAGCTTGTAATCCCCTGGAAGACCCAAAGCCCGTTCTCGTTTTTGCACAGGACTTGGAGGAGCAACATTGGAGAGAAGCAAGAACATGCAGTGCTAGAGACAGAGACAAGCAGCCTCTGCATCTTGGTGCATCTTGAAGTGGGACAACTTGCTGTTCTGCCAGGGGCACACTGGGGCACCGAGGTCAGAGCAAACACACGTGCCTTTACCAAACTCAGACGGTCTGCATATCTTATGCATTCTGTGGAACGCACATCCCGGCTTGCATCGACACCTGCACGTGCGCTCGAAGAAACAGCTATCGTGGTGGAGTGGTGCATGTTTTGATGCCTTGTTTGCAATTTTCTTCATCCTCAACACCACAAAGTCAGTGGCTGTTCTCTACGTAGCTAGAAATGCTGTCCGGCGAGCGCCAATGCACTTGCGCCACAGAAATGGAGAGAAATGCATCATGCTCTCTGGGCGATACCCGTTTTCATCGTGCTGTTCGTCTTGCCAGAGCCCAGCACTGGTCTAGCTGGTCTCACATGCAGAGCATCTGCAACAGGGTCTGATCACGTACATACGCCGCCGCTTTCACAGAAACATTCTCGTGAGGCTCGGCACCATGATGTGCTATAATACGCTTCAGGACCTTACAGAGACGAGGGGCGGCCCCACTCTTTTGGGCCGCCATGACGCCGCCCGTGCCGAGAGCCACCTCCCGGTGCGGTAGATGCTTGGCACGCGACTTCACGACGTCAACGCCGCAGCTCTACTGCACATGCTGCACCTGATTTTGTGCAGTGCTGCTGACTGGTACACCGTAAACCCGAAACCCCAAAGATTCGAGCTTAGGGCTACCTTTACTACTGAGGTACAAATCGTCCCCAACCGCCTCTTTAGAAACCATTCCCTAAATCTCAGAAGGTCTAGGGTTTAGGCTTAGGGTTTAAAGGGTCCTGAGCCTCCTCTGCAATGTTCACTCCGAGCTTGATTTCCTTCCTTTATGGTTGAGGGTTTAGTGTTCAGGTTACTTAGGGCTGAGTGTTCTCAGCCAAACCCTACAAAAACTTAGTCATAGTTGGGTACCAGTTTACATTTTTAAGGGTACTTAACCCCAATAAGGAATAACAAATTAAACGTTTATTATTATCCCAACAATGAATTAGAAAAGACAGCCTTTGGCCCCTGAAAGTTCGAAGTCGGGCCTTCCATTCGCCGCAGAAGCTCTGGTTCCACAGTTCCTTTGAGTTCCAAGCAGAGTTGGTCGGTTGGTCGCCCACTATCGTTCAACAAGCCCTAAACCCTATACCACCACAGAGGCATTGTAACATGAAAGAATAGCCTCCCACTTAGGGTTCCTTCTGATCCTGTTCAGGTCTCTGAACCCTAAACCCTTAGCGCTTGCCCTGGGCACGAAGCTGCACTGGAGCCATGGGAGCATGCTTTGGAGTGGCAGGTTCCGGGGTTTGGCAATTTTTTGTGCTCAAGGGTCTCAGCGTTTCGGGCCTTTGGGGTTTCAGAGTTCCAGCACTTTTTTTGGGGTGGAGGGAAGGGTTTACAGGCCGCTTGGGGCTTGTTTATGAGATGACGGCTGAGGGGTCTACGAGTTTGGGACTTCCAGATTGGTGACTCCAAGGTCAACTTCGGCTTTGTTGAAGAAGTTGTGGTGGTGTTTTTTTTTCCGATGGCATCCCAAACTTGGGATGTTCCCCCTTGTACTCTCCGTCCTTAAAGGGGCTTATAGTATCCCCCATTGTCATCCCTGCTATGGACTGCTAGTGTAAGGGGAACATCAAAATCCTAAACCATTAGGCTGAGGAGGAAGGCGTGATTCTGCCCAGCCGAGTTTTGCGGGTCGCGAGGTTTGGACTCGCGAGCCTTTTGGGCCCCAAATTGTAAGCTTGACGCCTTGCACCGTCCCTGGCAAATCCTAAGCCATGGACACTCTCTTCTTCTGCACGTGGACCATGTAGGGTTTAGGGTTTTAGGGGTTCGGGCTTAGGGCTTTGAACCCGAAGCATCTCAGCCTGGAACACAGCAACCAGGCGAGGAGGCAGAGAGAAGAGAGTTGGTGACGCTTTTCAATGTGTCGATCTTCAACATGAGTGGAGAAGAGGTGGCGCTGGGCTTCAGGCATTGGAGGTTCAGGTTTCAGGGGCTGGGCGCGAGGCTTTCAACCCTAAACCCTAAACCTACACCGTGAACCCTGATCAGAAGCTGTCTCCTACAGTATAGAAGAGCAAGATGTGGGCTGCGGTTGTTGTCCCATCTCCGCTTGCCTCTGGAGCCAGCCCAGGCACTGTGTTGTCACATCTCCTACATGGGGGTTTACGAAAGTAGGGGACCCCCAATATAGATCCCCAAATAGTAGGATCCTCTTATAATAAGGACCCCAGGAAGGTACCCGGAAACCCTTACACAATAGCTCGTAAGAATGAACTCGAGGATTCCACCTTCGCAGTTCAGTGCATGCAGATTCCACTTAAGCTTAGGTTTCCAGACTTCACCTTTAGCTTATTGTCTTGTTACAGTCTGGTAGCTATGTACTCTGAAAGTTTAATCTTGTGCATCTTTGAAGCAAGAATGTTGGGATGTTGCCTTGTGCTAACAGTCCTTAAAAAGGATTATGGTACCGCCCTATTTGAATCCCTATGAAGGACTGCCAGTAGAAGGGTATAGATCACATAGGAAGAGCAGCAACGGAAGGGACCTTCGGCGTTCTCAGGCTGCCATTGTATGCACTTGGGGGGGTACTCACAGCTTGGCAACGGTTGCTGCATGTAAATGTGTTTGCCGACATACCTACTTGTTCAATCTACCTATCAATCACCTGTCTCTTCATGTGCTTTCTGCATACATCTACATGCAAGCATACCTTAGTGCCAGAAAGATGCGCACTTGCATACAATCCAACAGCTCCACAGACCTACCTACCTGCGTGCCCGCCGGCATGCATGCATACGCAATGCATCCATACATGCGTAAAGGCTGCTGATCATGTTGTTCCTAGTGAAAATGGGTTGCTATCTTGCTTGGACCTCTCCCCTCAGCTGACAGAGGACCTCGGACTATTTCTTTCTTTATTTCTTTATGTGTTTATTTACTTTATGTATGTATGTATGTATGTATGCATGTATGTATGTATGTATGTATGTATGTATGCTTGTATGCTTGTATGTATGTATGTATGTATGTATGTATGTATGTATGTATGTATGTATGTATGTATGTATGTATGTGTGTGTATGTATGTATGTATGTATGTTCCTATTTATATAGGCGGAGCTCATCAGCATCACCTCAAAGAAGACCTCAACGAACATGCCTTGCCCGGAGACATGAGTGTGAGCGCCGAAGCAGACCCGAAACCCCAAAAACCCTGAACCCCAAACTCGCTGAGCCCTTAACCCCTACCTCTAAACCCCTAAACCTAAACCCCTAAACCCAAAGCCCTGGACCTACCGGAAATCCTCAGCCCTCAAGGTGTTGAAGCTCGAGTGTAAGCCATTCGACACTCTCTTCGGCCTGAAGAAGGCCCTTGCATTTCAGGCGGGCTTTCGGGGGTTTTCAACCCCTGACAGCCAACCCCCCCCCCCCCCCCCTTAAGGTTTAGGGTTTCGGGGATTAGAGGTAAGGAGTCTCGGGTTTGGGGTGTAAGCTTTTGAGCTTCGAGGATTCGGGGTTTGGGGTTTGGGGGTGAGGGTTTTGAGTGTAAGGTTGAATTTCGGGTTTGGGGTAGACTCTGTCCAAGAACCAGCCAGACGATGAAACCATGAGGGGGGAACCCTAAACCGTAAACCCTAAACCCTAAACCCTAAACCCCCAAGACAAAAACAGAAATTGCATGTGAGTCATTCGAATGTGCAGCTGCGGCCTTGATCAGACTGATCAGCCTGCAGATTGTGCCTCATTCTGGCAATGAAGTGGTTTCAGTCCCCAAAACCTATAGGCCCTAAACCCTCAAACACTAAACCCTAAACCCTAAGACCCTCAATTGAGCAGCTTGGCGCAGCCTTAGGAGCCAGAGTTTTTGACTTCTCAAGGGGGGCCCAGCCTCGAGAGCTAGACCTTTTGACCCCCTCAAAGGGGCTTAGTCTCTAAGAGATCATTTGACACCTCAAGGGTCCCGAACCTTGGTGGATCATCATTCGGAGGGGCGCTGGGTCCCGAGCCTTGCTGGATTGTCATTCCTGGGTTTGTTTTTCGGACATTTTTCATTTATTGCCTTTGGTTGTGCTTTAAGTAGTGGATTTGCTTGCACATGTTCTGTCAGTCATAGCTTCTGGGTTCAAGGGGGGTCCCGAGCCTTGCTGGATAGTCTTTCGGCTTCTACTTGTTGTTTGGCTGTCACGGTCTCATCCGCGTCTACTGTTTTTGGCTGTCACGGTCTCGTCCGCTTCTACTGTCATTGGCCGCCACGGTCTCGTCTGCTTCTACGGGTTTTGGCTGTCACGGTCTCGTCCGCTTCTAGTGTTTTTGGCTGTCACGGTCCCGTCTGCTTCTATTGCTTTTGGCCGTCACGGTCTCGTCCGCTTCTATTGTTTTAGGCTGTCACGGTCTCGTCCGCTTCTAGTGTTTTTGGCTGTCACAGGCTGTCACGGTCTCGTCTGCTTCTACGGTTTTTGGTTGTCACGGTCTCGTCCGCTTCTACGATTTTTTGGCTGTCACGGTCTCGTCCGCTTCTATTGTTTTAGGCTGTCACGGTCTCGTCCGCTTCTACTGTTTTTGGCTGTCACGGTCTCGTGCGCTTTTGCTGTTTTTGGCTGTCACGGTCTCGTCTGCTTCTATGGTCTTAGGCTGTCACGGTCTCGTCCGCTTCTACTTGTTTTTGGCCGTCACGGGCTCGGCCGCTTCTACTGTTATTGGCCGTCACAGTCTCGTCCGCTTCTACTGTTTTTGGCTGTCACGGTCTCGTCCGATTCTACTGTCATTGGCCGCTACGGTCTTGTCCGCTTCCATTGTTTTTGGCCGTCACGGTCTCGTCCGCTTCTACTTTTTTAGGCTGTCACGGTCTTGTCCGCTTCTGGTAATTTTGGCTGTCCGCTTCTACTGTTATTGGCTGTCACGGTCTCGTCCGCTTCTATACTGCTTTCGGCCGTCACGGTCTCGTCCCCTTCTACTATTTTGGGCTGTCACGGTCTCGTCCGCTTCTACTGTTTTGGGCTGTCACGGTCTCGTCCGGTTCTACTGTCACGGTCTCGTCCGCCTGTACTGTTTTTGGCTGTCACGGTCTCGTCCGCTTCTGCTGTTTTTGGCTTTAACGGTCTCGTCCGCTTCTACTGTTTTTGGCTGTCATGGTCTCGTCTGCTTCTACTTTTTTTGGCTGTCACGGTCTCGTCCGCTTCTACTTGTTTTTGGCTGTCACGATCTCGTCCGCTTCTACTGCTTTCGGCTGTCACGGTCTCGTACGCTTCTACTGTTTTGGGCTGTCACGGTCTCGTCCGCTTCTACTGTCATTGGCCGCCACGGTCTCGTCTGCTTCTACGGGTTTTGGCTGTCACGGTCTCGTCCGCTTCTATTTTTTTTGGCCGTCACGGTCTGATCCGCTTCTACTGTTTTTGGCCGTCACGGTCTCGTCCGCTAGGGTTTAGGGTTTATAGGGTTTAGGGCTCAGGGCTTAGGGTTTAGCGTTTAGGGTTCAGGGCCTTAAAGCTACTATATGGGAACCTCTTATAGACACATGTGTGCACATGGGTCTTTAGGGTTACCAAGTTGTAGGCATTTACAGCTATAGTGCAACACTGCTTGCAACCATGCCATGGTCCTGGAGTTAGACCTTATAAACCGCTACTCCTCCCCCCTGCCCACCCCCCCCCCCCCCCCAACCCCAGAAGAAGAAAACAAAAACAAAAAAAGAGAAAGCCCTCCCTAGCTAGGTCGGGGCGAACTCAGCGGCGTTGAATCTGATCCGCGGGAGTGAGACCCTGCGGCCGAACCACGCGCTCTTGGGGGATCTCCTCGAAGGGGACACGGAGCTCACCTTCGTTCGGACCAATGCCCTTTGGATTTTGATCCCTGAAGCCTAAAGCCTAAACCTGGAATCCTAGACCCTAAACCCTATACCTTAATCATGCTGCTTCCGGTTTCCCACACATGTGGGGGAGTGTAGGGGTTTTGGGACTGGGGCCTACCCCCCAAAGGTTGATGTTTTTGGGGCCTTTCATGATTAGATTTATACTTTGTACTACTAAAGGCCCCATTATTAACGTGCGTTTTATAAGGTCTTTTGTACACTATTTTTTTCGCTGGCTACTTCACTAATTTCATGCGGTCGTTCGTTCGGTCACTCACTTCCTTATCAATTGGTTCATACGCTTCACCCCCTTTATAATAAGTTAATGGTGCTCTCTTCTCTCTTTGTCTTCGCCTTTGGTTACTATTTGTTGTTTAGTCCTGATAACATATAATCGTATCTTTTCCTGTGGCTCCGCGGTTGGGACGTTCACTTGATTAATTATGCCCGCGGAACAAGGATACAATAATATTATTTCACGGGCAATGAGTGTGAACGAAGCGCGCTGGGAATGATATTTTGCAAGGCTTGAAATTCTACCGCGGGCAAATACAATTAATAAATGCGTTCTTTTTGACATGTGTGGGGTTCACGAAAATTCCTGACAACCCAAAACCCTGAAATCAGAATCCCTGAGATTCGAACCCTAGGATTCCAAACCCTAACAATAGGCCCTCAACACTCAAAGCTTAACCCTAAACCCTAAACCCTGAACCCTACTTTGCGATGGGAGGTTCGCCGAATTCGCTTCCGGACTTTGACACTGCACGACGGCCGAGCTGATTTCACGCGGGGGTACGGCCTCTCCTCGACAGCACGTGCTGGCGACACGCTCCGGAGCACCAGGGCTGGGGCCTCAGAATTAGTACTCGTGGCCCTTGAGGTTCCGTGTTTATTGTATATGATATAGGCGATATAGTTATTTACATGTATGTGTAGATGCATATGATTCTAGCTAGAGATGACAAAAAGATGTAGAGTATTGATGGTCCAATAATGTTTGTGGTGCAAAGCTCCCCAAAACACTAGTCGAAAGCGCTGAAGGAACGAGGGATAGGGGACTAGCAGGACTTTCTGGGTGTCTGAGTCGTATGTCTCCCTAAACCCTAAACCCTAAACCCTAAACCCTAAACCCTAAACCCTAAACCCTAAACCCTAAACCCTAAACCCATTTTTCGATGTTTAGGCGCCGACCTGAGCCCTGGACGCCACTCCTGATCCTAAAACATGAACCCCCAAACTATGTAAAAAATAGAAGAACCGTTCATTTGCATACTCTTGAGGTTTATATAGGTAGTTCTGACCATGTGAGCAACCAACCCTACCCGCTGAACGAGGACCAAACTGCCTGGATCATGCACATCCTGGAAGAGGGAGTGAAGTTCGAGTCTGAAAAGCTGCCGGGTCTCTACATCTGCTACGCGGACGCCCAGCTCCCCTACACTCGCTTTCTTTTAGGGTTTAGGGTTTAGGGTTTAGGGTTGGGGTTTGGGGCTATGGCGGGAGTGTTTGGGGCAATGGGTTACGTTGTCAAATTTGTAGGGCTTCTGCCTCTGCAGGGCCTTCAGTTGCTCGCCTCGCAGGTTCGGAGTCAGGTATGGGATGAAGCATAGGTTGAATTCATTAGTAGTGTTTACGGAAACGTTGCAAGGTTTATGGTGGCTTGTGCAGCTTCAGGGTATTTACTACTGCAGACCCTGATTTCTGAGCCGCCTTTCTGTTCAGGGTAGGATGTATCCCCAAGGCATTGAGCCCAATTGTTGCGCCCTGAAGGCTTAGGGTTTTCGAACGGCCTCAGATTTCGCAACGCTAACGCCTAAAGTCTTAAGCCTTGAGTTCTTGCAGGGGAGAGGTTCAGGGATTGAGGTTTCGAGTCAGGAAAAGAGCTCCTTAGGAAGCTGCTGAGAGACAACGTAAACAACAAGTTCCTCAGAAACCTGAACCCTAACTTACAAACATAAACTAGGCTGGCCCTTCGGAAATGTTGTATTTTCTCTTATTGGGTTCAAGAGAATCATACACAGGAATACTTTTCAGAGGTTTTTTAAGGGGCATTCTAAAAAAGAGTCAGGATGGATATGGAAAGCTTCTGGAAGGCAATGGCCAGCGGGAGATTTTCCGCCAAGTGCGTCCCATGAACGGTGAAAAGGACAAAATGCTTGAGAGTTAGGGTTTAGGATTTAGGATTTAGGGTTTAGGGTTTTGCTCACAAAGGGTTCCGGGTTTAGGCTTTGGGGTTATGGTAGAGCATCCCCAGCAACTGCCTGGAGTGCCCAACCCTAGAGTATCCCCAGAGACTCCCCAGCCCCAGAGTGTCCCCAGAGCATCTCCAGGGACTCCCTGGAGCGCCCAACCCCAAAGTATCCCAGAGCATCCCCAGAGACTCCCTGGAGGGGATGTTCGAAGTAAAGTAATTTTGTTGCTGTTTCTTTGATTTCTGCGAGGCTTGTCATATTTGTCCTGTTTGGATGTAACTTCTATGCTCTAAGATCCTAAAGCTACCTTGGAAGGTCCGAGTAAAGCGCTCGCACTTGGGAGGACAGCGTGACACTGGAAAGTCTTGCGCAACGTGGAGAATTCCTTTGCCACTGCCATGGCAACATCTGCTTCATCTCGTTTTACACGCCCACGACCATCTCCCCCAACGACACTAGCTGGCGTTTGCTCGAATGTGACTGAAGGATCTGCGTGCAACTGCAGCGCAAGCAGCAGTCCTGAGACAAGTTTCCCCATTGACCCTCAGCCTGGAGTCTTAAACCCGACACCTCCAAGCTTCAGCCCGCTGCCCAAAGCTTCAGCTTTCTGGACCCAAGGCCGGAAACCCAAAACCCCAAAATACCGATATCCGAAGCTTGAAGCCCCGAACCCCACACCCTACAAAGGTGGTTCAAATGCTCGCGCAGCAGACAAGTCGGCCAAGTCGTGTGTACAGAGTTGGGTGTATGAGTCAGCCGCTGCGAATGTACAGTTGCGGCACATGTGTCTTTTCGAATCATGTGGCGAGACAAAAAGAGGCGTGGAATAAAGGGCTCGGTATAGTTACTAATATCATTCCCTTATGGTCCTTGGTGATTATACTGTCATAAGAACCCTAAAAATCCGAAAGAAATTAAGGCCTCTACATGACACAAGAATTTTAAACACCCGTCCCCACAGGGCCGTTCGCCGTGCCTTTCGGGAACTTTAGGGAATTTTTTGTTATATTTGTTCACGAGATATGAATAATTCATATTATTCTATTTTCTTTTTTTTGAATCCAAGAAGTTCGTCTAGTTTTATTTTCATCTTCATAATTATCGTGGGCTCAATTGATATTTTCATATAGTATTTGAAACGAAAAATGTTTATTTTTTGGAAAAGAATAAGTTATTTCATGGAATTAAATAGGACAATGATTATATATTTGGAAGGACCTCTTAATTTTTGATATTGGGATGGATCCCTAATGTAGGCTTTGATCTATTCTACGATTGAGGGAAATATTTGAATAGAAATTAATTTATTATAGATAAGGAATATTTGTATTCTTTGGTCTTATTGGGATCATTTACGTTCTTATTCATCTATTGTGATTCTATATTCTTGGG